AAAAAGTCAGTAGAAAATTTGAATTACAAAGATTTCCTGGGAAGAAAATCTCCCAAAAAGTGGAACAAAGGTAGAACAAAGAGCAGAGATGAAAATTAGGAGAAAATAATATAATTTAGAGGACAAGTCCAGACCATCTAACATTTAAATAGTAAGAGTTCCAAGAGAAAAATAAAAAAACACATGGAGGGGAATTACTACAGGAATAATTCACTGAATGACCAACACAGAATGAAACATAGTTGCGGAGAGTTACAATCTAGTTGACCAATAGGTAATCCAGGGGCGGGGGAAACAGGTAATATGTTATTGGAATCTAAAAGACAAAGAACACAAACCCTAGAATTTTGAAGGAAACTGATTTCGAAAGTACAGTATTCAACCAATCTCTCAGGTCAGTCAGGTATTAGCATATTATAAAGATAGTTCAGACATGGGAGGCCTCAAATGTCTCTCCCATAGACCATTTTCCAGCCTCTCAGCCATGTTCTGGAAGATGTAAATCAACTGCAAGAATCAAGGGGTTTCCCAGATGAGAACCGCAGAAAACAGATGTACGAGAAGTGCAGAGTATAATGTGTATACATCAGGGCAAGAGAACTGAGGGCTCAAGTACGGGTGTCTCTAAGAAAATGAATCTGAGGATTTCTCTATATGTTTGACTATTTGGGGAAGACAGTTAAACTTCTGGTAGAGAGTCCAGGATCAATTAGTGATGATATTTAGTCACCTGAGCAGACGAAAAATAAAGAGGCAATAATCAACCCAAGCAAAAGAAAACTGTTCCATGTAAAAAGAAACATATCATAGTGTACTACCTGGTTCCACTGACAGTAATTTTTACACATTGATAATAAGGCTATGTTGAACTGATTTCATTTGGTTAGTCATAAGATAATTTACTAAACATTTACATCAAGTAACACATCAGCTTTGCATCAGGTGCCCATCTAGGCACCAAGCACACATCAGTAAGACAACTAACTTAACTAATGAGGTGAATATATTCTTACTACCAAAAATTTTTGAAAATGATAGTACAATCTTTCAGGAAATCCTACCAGCTGTTTTTAAAATATATGCTGGATCTAACCAATTTCCACAAGCTTCACTGTTTTCACTGTTGGGGAAGACAGTCGGCTGTGGGCTCCGAGCCTTCCTGCATACTGCTGCACTGCTGCATGTGCCAAACTGCAAGGATTATCCTTTCCTTAAACGTGAGCGGTTCCTGTAGCTGGGAAAGAATACATGGAGGCAACTGTAGCTTGATTACCATGTGACTTCCTGCTTCCCCGGAGTCATGGACTGACTTGTTTGCTATTTGCTGCAAAGGGTTCTGGGCCCTAAACCCTGGGTTCCTCTACAGCATCTTCTAGGTCCTTTATGGGACTTGAGGACAAGGCAAACTGGCACAATTATGCTGCGCTGTTTCTGTGCTGTGAGTCAGTAACTGTCTTAAGGCTTGTCTGCTTTCCTGGAGTACTCACGGAGCTGTGGCACTCTTCCTGCTTGCCATCCTCTATGAAGTTGAGGTTCTGTATACATTGCTGGTAAAAAAGATCAATATCAGGGAGTGGGGTTGGTAAATGGCTTGACAGTTTCTTAAAATGTTCAACTTTCCATATGAGCCAGCAATTTTACTCCTAGATATCTACTTAAAACAAATGAAAACTTATGTTCACTTAACGTAAATTGTTTGTACAGCATTATTCATAACAGCCAAACACTGAAAAACTCAAATACCCATCAACTGATGAATAAACCAAATTAGTATATCTACACAATGAAATACTATTAAGCAATAAAAAGGAATCAACTACCAATACTTGCCACAATATGGATTAATCTCAAAAACATGCTAGTGAAAGAAACCTGGTGCAAAAGACTGCAATACAAATCTGTAGAGATAGAAAGCAGATTAGTCATTTTCTGGGGATGAGTCTGGGAATGGAAATTGACTGGAAACGGGCGCAAGGACCTTCTTGAGGTGATGGACTGGATTCTACTGGTGGAAGAACAACTCTTAAATTGACCAAAGATCATTGAAGTGCACATTTAAATAGGACGAACGTTATAGTATATAAATTGTACCTCAATAAATTTGTTTAAAGAATATATTCCATTCATTAAACAAGAAAAAAATACTATAAAATAGAAACCATAAAAATAAAGAATAACCCTTAAAAAGTAAACATTATTTTGAAATATCTTTAAATGTAATAGAAGTTTGGGAGGTTAAAGTGAAGGAAATCTCCTAGAATACAAAACTGAAATATTGAAGCATGAAAGATAACAGAACCTAATCCAGGAATTCTAAGAGAATACAGAGATCCAAGAAGTAATGAAACATTTAAAAACCCTGTAAATATATTGCCATGAAATTTCAAAATGCTAAAGGAAAAGAGAAGGCCCTAACACTTCCACATTGCTAAACACAGAAAATGAGAACTCAGACAGGAATTGAATATCTTATCGATAACACTAAATGGACACAGGAATCAGGACACTGGACCATGGAGAATGAAATACAACAATCCTAGCACTTTATTTTACTTGGCAACAAACAAAAAGCAAATTGCTATTCTTATATAAATACTATTTACTGCTTTTCAACATTTAGAGAAGGTAGTTACAAAACAGAATATAAACATCATTAGATGCCGTGATATTTCAGTTCTGAGGGAAAATTTTTTAAACCTTTTAAATACCCACCCAATTTTTCATGAGGGTTAAGACAAACAAAAGCATTTTTAGAAGTTAAAGTGCTCAGAATATTACCTACCATTCATTTTTTTCCCCTAAGGAGAAAAACAAGGGTCAAGAGAAAGGGAATCATGGGCTATAAGAAATAATGAACCTTACTGAGGAGCTCAACGAAAATGTTGCCAGTATGATAGCTATGCAGAATGTCTAGTAAGCAACTGGTTCAAATTAAAAATAAGAAGCCACAGGAGTCTAAGAATAAAAGGGAATAGGATGGATTCCAAGCAGTATACCAAGACTACAGAGCTATCTTGCATTAGTAAAAATAAAAACAAAAACACTTTCTATTCACAACCAGAAGGGGACAAATTAATTAGAACAGTTAAGGAAACCATAAAACTGTGTAAGAAATCATGTCCAAACGCATTGCAAAGTAAACTATGGCATGATTTTGAAGAATAGAGCGAGTCTAAGAAAAGAAAATCCACTCAGGATCCATGCTGTGAATTCTCTCCTTCAAACGACACAGGAGTTAGGTCATTGCACCCATGCGGAATGAAATGCAATCCTATTTTACTTGGCAAGAAACGAAATGCAAGAGTTTACTTACATAAATATTATTTATTCCCTTTCAACTTTGAGAGATAACTCACTGAATTAATCCTTAACCTTAAATATAGTTACAAAACAGAACGGAAACATCAACCTTGATGATATAAGAAGAGAAGAGTGTAGAAAAAAAGGAAGCAAATAGTAATATTCTTATCTAATATAGTAGAAAGTCAATAACTTAAGTTGATGAAATAAGAAATGCAAGTTTAAAGATGACATTTAAAGTTACAAAGGCAAGCAACAGAACTAAAATAATCACTACCAAAAATCGGAATAGAGAGATGAAAAAAATAACTTGGATAAGTTATGGAAGTAAATCTTCATCTTTCAAAGTGGAGGGTTAATGGAAATATGTTAAATGTATAAATCAAGAAATAATGACCATATGCATGTTCTCACAGATACGTGGGAGCTAAAAAAGTCGACCTCATGAAGGTAGAGAGTAGAATGAAGAACCTCTCCTCTGACTAGAAATACTTTAAAACTTCTCCTTGTTTATGTAGTTCCACAATGTATAACTCTAATTCTAGCTGAATTAGCCAGCTGTGGTGGTGCGTGCCTGTAATCCCAGATACTCAGGAGGCTGAGGCACGAGAATTGCCGGAACTCGGGAGGCGGTTGTTGCAGTGATCCAAGATTGGCCACTGCACTCCAGCATGGGCGACAGAATGCGACCCCGTCTCAAATAAATGAATAAATGAATAAATAAAGCCAGCTGAAGTTCCACTGAAATTGCCTTTGGACCGAACAGAATCATACTTCTCTCTACTTCTCACTTTCATTGTTCACTTAGCACTTGCAGTGAATCAAGTATTTTTGGAATACAGAGAAGCCTAAATCAAGAGAGAGAAATCTTATAGCCTAGGCTGGACTGAGTATTTATTATTTTTACCATAATTTACATTCAAACATAATTTAAAGGGTTTTACAATTATGAAATGGGATTGTTAACAAAAGAGAGGGAAAGGGAAAGGAAATCATTATCTACAAGAGGCAATTTTTTCAGTAACAGTAGACTAACCCTGCTGTGCTTGCTCATACAGTGCAGGCTCTGAGAGGTCACAGGTCACACTAAGCTCTCATGGCTTTTTCTTTGCTATAAACACCATCTCCAACCCAATCTCCTCTGCACCTCTCCTCTGCAAGCCACCACTCATTTAAAAAACAGACTTTTCTCCCAGATGCACACAATCGACCCTCCTTCCCAATCTAACAGGCACTCAGAGTTAGACTTTATTCTTCTTTTGTTCCTGGTGTGTTTAGAGAGCAAATATAAAATTCTATTTGTAGGATATTCACAATAATATAAAAGTCAAACTCTAAAAGAAAACTTTGTGTAGAGATAGGGGCTTGCATAGATATGAAGAAATAAGAAGACTTTTCTGTATACAATGACGTTGTATTACACCATTTATTTCAACCATTTTGGAGTGAACATTCTTCCCTGTTACATACTGAGTGCAGGGGAATCTACCATTACCGTATGGAAAAAATAGTCTAAATTAAAATCAGATGATGAGATGAATATCTGAGCCATTAATAGAAACCAACTAGCTCCTATTTTAATGAGCAAAATTTTTCAAGAAGGCCTCCTGCTGTAAAGTTAAGAGTGGAAAGGGAACATGACTGCATTGTGATAAATGTAAGTAAATATTCCCATAGGTAGAATACGTTAAGAAACTAACTTGACACCAGCATTATGCTGAAGATGGTTCACACAGGGAAACGAGCTGATGGAGCGCCTTGGCTGACACCTGGCTGCCTCCAGTTGCATTTCTGCTCCTCCCTTTGCTTCTTGTTCACTTAGACTTCACTTTCCTGCAATGTAACATGGGAAATAATAATTACATGTCACACAAGGTGGCTGTGAGGAAAAGATGAGTAGGATTCATTAAACATTAGCTGTAGCGATGATTATTACTCCTTTTTCCTCACTTAAGACATAAGATAACGAGCTCAGAAGAGACTGTTACAGCCACTTCGTTGTAACTGGGTGGCCACCCACAAAAGAATCGTTTTGTTAGCAGTCATAGAATAGGTAAGCAAATATTTTTTAAAAATTGACGTGTTGCTGTGTGTTCTCTGCGTTCATGGTATCCAAACCCAGAACACCACTTAGATACAACGATGGAAGGACTTATGTGAGAATCAGGAGTAATCTTCACTTTGTCACATTGGAAATAGCTGGTTTGTTATTTTATCATGTTATTTTGCAATAGTCTAATTATATGACCTCAGAGTCTGACGTATGTACAGGAGTATGCTGAAGCCAGCCTGTGTCAAGACTCAGTTGTTCAACATTCACGAATTTTGGAAGCTGGATGCTAAATAATTGATGGCTTGAAATCAACCATAGTGGGAGTATTTACACCACAGAAATTGGCAGCTGCTACAAATTGGAGTCTTTACTAGCACACCTCTCAATATACGTGTCCTGGATAACAGGTATTAGGAAATGAGAACACTCAAAAGTAGTAGCTTATTCTTTCCAAAGTGTGTTTCCATCCTATCCAAATAATCTTTACACCAATTCGATGATAGTGGGAGGGTATTATTTATTCTTCCTATTTTACATATTAGGAAACTAAAACAATGATGCAAAGTAAGACCAGAATTAACCCAAAGTAATGTCTATCAGGGCAGAGCCAGGACTAAAACCCTGGTGACAAGACTTATCACAACACTCATTCTATTCTGGTTTTGAGATACAGCATCACAAGATTTTATCTGTAGCAATTTGGGACTCCAAATTGATTTTAGAGGTGCTACAATATTTTCTAAATAAAATAAAATAAAGGACGGAAAGAAGAAAGTCATCTCAATTAAATACCATCCATATATCATTTCATTGGGAGGGTAGAGGATGAGGAGACAGTTGACAAAATGGTAAAGATTTCCTATAGAAGTAAATATTTAATTTATCAACATGAGGTCAAGCCTGTGCTTGTTGCTTTGGGGTATGTACTATTATTTGAATAAGGTTTGAGTTTATCCCCATGTTTATGTTGCAATCTTATGCTCAATCTGGTAGTATTGGAAGTGGGGCCTAGTGGAAGGTGTTGAGGTCATGGGGTCAGACCCTTCACAAATGGTGTGGCCTGGTGCTCACAGTAGTGAGTTCTTGCTCTGGCAAGACTACATTAGCTCTCTTGAGAACATTGCTTGAATATGGTTTGTTTAAAAGCCAAGATGAGGATGCCCTTGATTTTCCTTCTTCACACATGTCCACTTTCCCTTGGACTTTCTCTGCCATGTCTCAACAAAGCACATGGTGGTCACCAGAAGTCCAGCAGATTCAGTGTCATGCTTCTCATAGGTCCAGGCCTACAGAACCATATGCTAATAAACCTCTTTTCTTTATAAATTACCCAGTCCTAGGTATTCTATTATAGCAACACAAAAGGGACTAACATTTTATGGAAAGAGGGTAAGAAAGAAATGGAACATGTATGCTTTTCCCTGAGGAAGATTTCATTATAATTAGGAATCCTGAACAGACATGAAAGGCTTAAAAATGTTTATAAAAATAAAATAAGGAATTTTTGTTTGGGAACTTACACGTTGAGAGGGTGACCAAAGCAGGCTTTCTAGAGGGAGGGAATTTTGGGGTGTGTCTAGCAGATGTCATTTAAATTCGAATTGCAGAAGAGGAGAGAAGAAGATATTAACAGCCAAAATGCTAACATGGCTAACCCATTACTTCCTTTCCCCAAACACCTCCAGCCTTCTGAATATTGCTGTAGATAATGGAAACTTCTCTAGGGATAGGGCAAGGAAACTTTCACCAGACAATGTCATTAACACTTTTCCAGTCCATTAAAAGGACAGAGATTGAAAATTAATCACAAAATAGAATTGAAGCCTGGGATTTTCATTTTCCTTTCCGCCACTTTTCTTAGTCTATTGTGACACTCTGATGGACACGTCACTGTATCAGGCATGGAAATATCTGCGATAATTTTCCCGTTGTTCTCCATGAAGCTATATGGCATATTGTTGCACCCCAACTCACGAAAACCTAACAGAGGGATATTCAGACTTTTAACTAAATTGATTGGTGTATGGTTCTTTACATCAGAAAAATAGCTCTTATAAAAGAATTTATCATTGTTTTATAAAGTCATGTTTTTAATAGGCATTCAAGTACTGCCTGTATTTCAGGCACTATAGCCACAAAGCTGTATAAAACAGGGTCCACTGCCCTCCCAGATCTCCGAGTGTACTGGAGGACACCTCGCTGTTCTGGCATAATTATAGTCAAACCCAGTTGTTATAATACAAAGAAATGTAAATGCTTTGGGATTAAGGTTAGGACAGTTCAGGGCTGCAGGCTTTGGGCAAGTTTACCAAAAAAGGTGATGCTTCAAGTGGAAATAAGTTCACTAGATAAAAAGGGATAACTTCCCTCAAGGATGGCAAAACAGAACAGTAAGAGAGTGCTAAAAAAAAAAAAAATCAATGTGTTGCCATGGTTTCCCTGCGTTCATGGTATTTCAATCTAGAAGACTACTTGGATATAATTACCAAAGGACTCGTGTGATTGGGAGTAATTCTTACTTTATGTCATCAGACCAAGAAGTTTGTTGTTGTTACCATTATAATTGGAGCAGGAAAATTGAAGTTTCTGGAGACAGAGATTAAGGGTAAGCAATAGGAAACCACTGAACATTCTTAGCAAGAGAATAGTCACATGATCTGATTTGTAGGACCTAAAAAAAAAACAAAAAAGGATTATTTCAAAGACGATCTAGAGATTAAAGGGTAGAATTCTTTAAATAGGATCTCCCTTGCTACATTTAAAATAGAAGTTTATTTACAAAAATTCTTCTTGCATAGAGAAAACCCTTATCCACAGCTGCTTAGCAAGCTGGCAGATGTGCCCTGTAGCAATTGGGACAGACCTCTAACATGGGAGATGATGTGTAATAAAGCTCAGCTTCCCTATCAGAGTGTTTTAATGCCTTGTTTCTTTGGTTTTCAGAGGCACACAGCATTTTTGCTTAGAGCAACTGCCCCAACTTTAAATCTGATAAACTGTGATTGACTTTTCATCACCTCCAGCAAAATATTTCCAAAACCATGGCTCTAAATAATTTAGATATATAAGTTCTCTGTCATTTTTCTTCCATTTCCCCACCAAAAAATCTCCACAACTTCTTTGAAACCTACAGTGATGTGTATTTTTCCTCTGAACTATCTGCAAAGTTGGGATGGGATTTAATTCATTAAGATAAACAAGGAGGGGCCAGGCGCGGTGGCTCAAGCCTGTAATCCCAGCACTTTGGGAGGCCGAGGCGGGTGGATCACGAGGTCAACAGATCGAGACCATCCCGGTCAACATGGTGAAACCCCGTCTCTACTAAAAATACAAAAAAAATTAGATGGGCGTGGTGGCGCATGCCTGTAATCCCAGCTACTCGGGAGGCTGAGGCAGGAGAATTGCCTGAACCCAGGAGGCGGAGGTTGCGGTGAGCCGAGATCGCGCCATTGCACTCCAGCCTGGGTAACAAGAGTGAAACTCCGTCTCAAAAAAAAAAAAAAAAAGATAAACAAGGAAAGCCTATAAGGAAATTTCTTAAAATGAGGTCGACAATACATATTCCTAGTCATTTTCTTCCCAAGGAATTTCTAAATTGAGTTTAAAGTTTGCTTCTGATGGCTACTATCCGGCTGAGTTAATAATTTTCAAACTGAGAAGACATAAAATAATAAAACTAAGTTGAAGAAAGTCACCATTGTCGAGGTTAGTGCTTTGGAACTTCTGATGATATGGCCAGGGATTCTGGCAGGCAGTTGGCTTTATCCTTGTGTTTTAAATCATATTAAAGTGGAAATCTTTAGTCACTTATGAGTCCAATTCTTCTCTGCTGGCATAGTATAGGCATCTTTCAGCACTATTTTTCATTTTTTGCTTTTAAAAGAGGTGTAAGACTTTAGAAAACTCAATCTCAAACTTCTCAAAGAAGAATCCAGAAAAATGAAGCCTTGCCTGCCATTGGCAAATAACCAGGAAGTAAGACAGAGAGCTTGAAAAGCAGTTCACCCTGCTTCTTTTTTCTCTTATTTTGGTTGACAGGCCTTGTGTTTGCCTAGCCAATGAGGAGGAAAAAAGAGATTAATAATAGCAAATTACCTAGGATTGGTGCAGACTGGTGATTGACGAAAACTTTCTCAGCCATTGGCTGAAAAAAATCTAAGTGGAAGGTTGCTTATATTCATAATGTCATTTCAATCCCAGGCTTCTTTATCACAGTGCAATGGACTTTCAGCTGTGATTCACTCCTTTAAGACCCAAAAGCTCAGCCTTTGTTGAATAGGAACTCAGGAGTCTCTGCCCAAAATGTTAGATAGGTGGCTTTGAAAACTGTTAGTCAATGACATTGAGGGTGGTGAGAAGTTCTACAGAACTGCTTGAACAACCTTAAAACACCACTTTGATCCTTCTTATGAGGTCAAGACTAAATTCTCTAGTCATGGATCCAATTCCTTCCACTCACAGCGTCATTGGATATCTCTGAGCCTCCCTCTTGCTCTCCATAGTGACACTTACTCATCAATTTGTGCCTTATGCTTGCCTACTCCTTTATTTTATTTTATTTATTGAGACAGAGTCTTGCTCTGTCACCAGGCTGCAGTGCAGAGGTACAATCTTACCTCACTACAACCTCTGCCTCCCATGTTCAAGCAATTCTCCAACCTCAGTCTCCCAAGTAGCTGGGACTCCAGGCATGTGCCACCATGCCCAGCTAAGTTTTGTATTTTTAGTAGAGATAGGGTTTCACCATGTTGACCAGGATGGTCTCAATCTCTTGACCTCATGATCTTCGCACCTCGGCCTCCAAAAGTGCTGGGATTATAGGCATGAGCCACTGCACCCGGCCTTACTCCTTTATTTTTATGGTTCATGTCTTATATCTTTGCCTCTGGTGCACATCCTCAACCTAAGATACTTTCTTAACTCTTCTCCCTGAAATGAAACCTGCAAATTCATTCCAGAGTTTAGAATCTCACTTAACCAGACTTACCCCACCTCTGAAAGATATTTTGGTACCCCATGAAGGCAGGTAAGGTACCACCTGGTAATACTTCAAACCCTTTGTCATGCATTATTAGCCCTTTCATTCACAGGTCATAGGACCTTAGAGCTGAAGGGACACTAGGGATCACTTACAGAAGGAATTATTGAGGCTTTTCCAGTGACAGAGAGGGTAAAGGATTTTCCCAGTGACAGAGAGGGTAAAGGATTTTCCCAGTGAGATGAGACAGTGCAGTGGAAACTGATGTTTCTGTAGACCGTCTCGAGGCGCAGTGATATGAGGAGGTGACTCACAGTCCTCAAGGGCAGTTCACTATGTTCCTCACAGTTCAGAGTTAAATCTGAGTCTCATAAACCTTCTATTCCATGTAACTCTTGAGTGACATCTCCCAGTTCTGAAGGGTAGATATAGTTCAGAGCATCACACTGTCTACCTATCCAAGAGTGGAGAACAAGTGCTACATTTTGGAAAGTTTCCTTGGTTGTTTGATGTAAATTAAGCCTTTGTCTTCCACTTCTCATAGTAACCATTTACTTTCTCAGAATTCACCTGTGATTATATTATCATATATTGCTATTATTATTTCAATAGCAATTTTATTATTATATTATAGTTGGACTGTAAAAATCATGAAGGCAGTGATAAATAAATTCCTTTATTTATGCTTTGAACATAGCAGGTACTCAAGAAATATTGAATGAATGAATGTATATTTGTGCCTTTTTTTCTTTTTCTTTTTTATTTTCTCTCTCTTTTTTTTTAAAGAAAAAGAGGGAAAAAGAGAAAAAAAAGAGGGAAAAAGAAATATTACTTCATTCCTAAAATGGGTATCAATAATGGCTGATCAATATTTTGTGTGTTTAAAGTGGATAATGTATATTTTGTGTGTTTAAAATGGAGAGCTCTATTGAGTTTATTTGTTCTGGATCTGAGTTCAAGTCCTGGATATCGTTGTCAATTTTCTGTCTCGTTGAATCTAAATTTCATTATGGGTCTTATGTATCTGGGTGTTAAGATCTCTTATTATTACATTAATCCTTTTACCCTTGTATCCTTGTAGCTTTGAAATCTCTTTTATTCATTGTGAGAATTGCAACTCCTGCTTTTTATTTATTTATTTTTGCTCTCCATTTAATTGGTAAGTTTTTTTCCAACCCTTTATTTGAGTCTTTGTATATCTTTAAATATACCATTAGATTTTGTCTGTATCTTTTGATTGGGGGATTTAGTCGATTTAAATTTAGGATTACTGCCATTTGATATTAACTGGCTATTTTATCCTTTTGTTGATGTAAATTCTTCTTTATGTTAATGCTCTTTACTTTTTGGTGTATTTTTAGAAAGGCTCATACTGGTTGTTCCTTTCTATGTATAATGCTTCTTTTAGAAGTTCTTGTAAAGCAGGACTGGTGGTAATAAAATCTCTGAGTACTTGCTTGTTCCTAAAAGATTTTATTTTTCCTTCAATTGTAAAGCTTAAATTGGCAGGATATGAAATTCTGGGCTGAAAGTTCTGTTCTTTAAGTATATTGAATATTGGCCCCCACTCTCTTCTAGCTTGTAGGGTTTCCGCTGAGAGATCTGCTGTAAGCCTAATAGGCTTCCCTTTATGGGTAACCTGATCTTTCTCTCTGGCTGCCCTTAATATTTTCTCCTCTGTTTCAATCCTGGTGAATCTAACGATTATGTGCCTTGGGGTTGGTCTTCTTGAAGAATATCTTTGTGGTGTTCTCTGTATTGCCTGGGGTTGAATAGTGTCCTGCTTTGCTAAATTAGGAAAATTTTCCTGGATAATATCCTGAAGAATATTTTCCAGCTTGAATTCATTCTCTCCATCACATTCAGGTACACCAATCAAACGTATATTAGGTCTTTTCACATAGTCCCATATTTCTTGGAGACTGCTCATTCCTTTTTATCCTTTTTTCTCTATTCTTGTCTTGTCGTTTTATTTCATTGAGTTGATCTTCGACCTCTGATATCCTTTCTTCTGCTTGATCCATTCGGCTATTTAAGCTTGTACATATTTCACTAAGTTCTCATATTGTATTTTTCAACTCCATAAGTTCATTTGTATTCCTCTCTATATTGTCTATTCTTTTCATCATTTCATCGAACCTTTTTTCAAAGTTCTTAGTTTCTTTACATTGGGTTAGAACAAGTTCCTTTAACTCCCAGAAGTTTCTTATCATCCACCTTTTAAAGCCTACTTCAGATAATGGAACACAGTCTTTTTCCATCAGGACTTGTCTGCTGCTGATGAGTCCTTTTCCATCAGGGCTTGTTCCCTTACTGATGAGTCCTTTTCCATCAGGGCTTGTTCGGTTGCTGATGAGTCCTTTTCCATCAGGGCTTGTTCCATTGCTGATGGGTTCTGATTTTGAGTATACTCGGCCTTCTTAGGCCGTTTTTTTCCTTCATTGTAGATGAACCGCCTTTCTAATTAGGTTTCTGAGTCGACGTCTGATTTATTGATTCCCAGTGCAGGGATCCAAGCAACCCACTGTGGCAGCCTAAATAGCAGTGATAAAACTGATGGTGCTCTTCTGCCTGGGAATCTCTGGCTTCCCTCTTGAGTCCGCAACAAGCAGCTCTGACTTCCTGGAGCTCCAAACTCCGGTCAGTAGGGGTAGCAGTCCCGTTTGCTCTGCATGAAGAGCTGCTGCGCCAAGGCGCCGGCAAAACTGCTGCGGCGGCCACAAGAGTCGCGCTGGCAACCCGTGGGGCTCCTCCACTGGGAATCGGCTGATCCGTGAGTGACGAAAATTCATCTAAAAGTGCGGTGTCGTCTCGTTCTCTGAGCTTTCACTGGGAGCTACAATCCTGAGCTGTTAGTGATCGGCCATCTTGGATCTACATCGATTTGTGCCTTTTTTCTAGTTTAAGTATAAAGTCTATAAGAGAGGAACTTAGTGTTTGTTAGGTTAAGGTAGGTCACTTAATGCCAAGCCAGGGTTTTTAAAGAAAATTCACTATAATGGGGGTCAAAAATTTAAATACACCTATAGATGGGAGCAGGGAACATAAATGAGAAAAACCAGGCTGGGTGTGAGAAATGCAGTGTAACACTGCAAGTGATGTAGGATTTTTCTTCTCAGTCACTTTGCAAGCCAGGGACTCCTGGCTGGTGATGCCCCTCCCATACCTTGCTTGGCCACATTAGTGTGCCTCAGCTCACCTGTGTTATAGCTTGTACCCGTGTTCAGTGGTTCTTGAGCTCTTGTACTTCTTGTACTGCGCCCAAGAAGAATGAGAATACATGAGACATTGAAGGATGATGAAGGTAGAGAAGATTTTTATTGAATGATGAAAATGGCTTTCAGCAGAGGGGGGACACAGTGAGTGGGGGCAGGGATGGCTCCCCTACCCAAAGTTGGGAAAGATCCTCACTGTGGCTAACTCTGGGGTCTTTTATGGACTAAGAATGGGGAGTGTGTGTTGACTGGTTTGTGACTATACAACAAATGTTAAAGCAAAGACACCGCTAAAAGGTGGGCATGACAAAGTAGAAAAACCAATTAGGAAAGGGTAGGTATAATGTAAAATAGGTGAAGGATGGGACCCATCAGAAAAAACCTTGCCAAACAGAAAGACAAGATATCAATCTGGTCTAAAGATTTAACTTGTAGGTTGGCTTTCAGGCTTTAAACTGTCTTCCACTTGGAGGTGGGGTTTACTGGGGACCTGCCTCTGTCTGACTAGCATTTCTCAACCTCCCACCTCTATCACAAGCACCATGATTTAATACCCAGAACCAAGGAGGCAATAGAGAGTGGAGAGGAATGCGGCAAAGGAAAGAGCATAGGCTTCATCTAAACGTGAAGGATGTTACCAGGTAGAAATGGAAATCCAGCGTAACTAGGCCTGATTTTTCTAGAGATTGAAAATCCAGCTTTTGATATAAAGTATCACAGTATTAAAATGTTGATAATTAGTTCCTTTTAAAAAGAAAAACACTGGTAGGCAAAACAAATTTTTCTATGGGATGCCCAAAGTCTATAAGTTACCAGACTCCTGGTCTAAAATCCAAGGAACATATCTAGGCATCTCTGTAAAGGTAATTGAACCCAGTCTTCCTCATCTTTCCCACACACGATGGGACCACCTCTGGTACATAGTGTCATGGTTCAAATATTGATTTGAACCAACGTTCACCTGACGGCCAGATGGACCAAACCTTTTATTCTAATCCAGGTCCTACCAAGGCCAAAATGAGATGGCACAGATGTGTCCTGCTGGCAGGCTCTGCAGTTTGAGTCAGTGAATTCTCCCCATCACTCTATCCTGGGTCTTGATTTTTCATCTGAATTAGTGCAACAACTTCCACATTGGTCTTTCTGCTCCTAGGCTGACTCCCTGCCAATCTGTCCTTCACATGGCCACTCGAGTTATCTTTCTAAGAGGCCATGTTGGTCTTAAAACCTGGCAATGACTTTCCACTCCCTTTAGAAGCAAAGTCAAGCTCCCTAACTGCTTTCAAAGCCTTTCAGACTCTGACAGCTGCCTAGCTCTCCTGTCTCCATTTTCTCCTTTTTGTTATTTTATACATAAGGCCAAATCCCCTCTTGCTTCTAAGCCTTTCCACATGCTATTCCCTCAACTTGTAGTGCCAGGTTTGCTCTTCAATTCAGACTGACACCTCCCTGTGGCTTGGCAAAATCCTATTCAACCATCAAGTCCAGCTTATATTTTACTTCCTCAAGGAGATCTTGCTGAACCCCTAAATGGGTAAGAGCACCCTCTACTTTCCTTGTGATAGTAAACTTTATGCATTATTTTGCAACATCTGCCCTCCCCGCTACTAGTCTATAAGCTCCGGGAAGAGGGAACTCACTTTATATAGCACTATTCCCCCAATACCTAGCACAATAAGGAGCATATTCTAGAATCTCAACAACACATACTGGTAGAGAAAGTGATCTAGTTAATATCTCATACCAGTTCGATATCAGACTAGTTCTTATTTTGGCTAATGTTCGATAGTCCCTAGATAGGGACTTGATTCACTAATTTCCATTGACAGCTATACTCCACCATACTTTACACTTTCCAATAGCACCATGAAATATTAGCAGTCAGTTCCAAACAAGGAGCTAGATATATGTTACTCATGTTGAAAATCTCTACATACAAAGCAAGTTTTTAAAAAAATACACAAAAGCATGTTACATAGTTCTGCAAGGCTGTTTTAAGAAATTTGTAAGATCTGGAAAATTTTAAATTTTGAAGGTACTACCCCACCAAATTTGGGACCTCTTTCCTAAATTAAATATAATTTTTTGTTGTAAAAATTAGAAAAGATTTTTCTAATTTTGCTTTCAAAAAGATTTGGCTAATGTAACTTATTTACTCTGTAATTAATTATGATTTTTCAATAATTTTCAATTGTACTTGGGAATATTTGTGAAGTACAGAAAGTCCAACTTAACCATTATTTTCAAATGTAAATGACTTCTTTTAAATGCTAAATTTGGTAATATTATATTTGGTAGAGTTTTAAGCATTATTTTCAAATTTTGTAACTTTCTATACTTTAGAGGCAATAAAAAACTTGGCCAGGCGCGGAGACTCATACCTGTAATCCCAGCACTTTGGGAGGCCAAGGTGGGAAGATCATAAGATCAAGAGATCAAGACCATCTTGGCCAACATGGTGAAACCCACCTCTACTAAAACTATAAAAATTAGCTGGGTGTGGTGGCAGGTGCCTGTAGAACCAGCTATTCAGGAGGCTGAGGCAGGAGAATCACTTGAACCCAGGAGGCAGAGATTGCAGTGAGCCCAGACGTCACCACTGCACTCCAGCCTGGTGACAGAGCAAGACTTCATCACAAAAAAAAAAAAAGGAAAGAATGTTAGGATCTAAATATTTTCATGGTTTCTGTAAAATGGGTAAGCTTTTGTGATTATGCTAATAGTGTCCAATCAAATGGCTGTATGGCTATAAATATAAATACAGATATAGATGAAAATGCATAGAAGAAATAAATGATCTGGCATCATATACAAAGAACTGTTAACACTGGTTAACATGAGGAAGAGAATCAGGACTGAAAATGGAGGGCTGAAAAACACTAGCTTAATCCATAATGTCTAAGTTTTTCACAAAGACGGTGTATTCCTACATTACTTTAAAATACTTGAGTGGGAGAGCTCATAGATACCATGGATTTTCAAGTAGATATGTGTGTTTATTAATGATGTAAAGATTTGTAAGCCTATAGCCTATTTTTGCTAGACTGTAACATATTTGGATAGATGAAACAGTGTTGATTTTCTACAAAACAAATTAAAAAAACTCCAAGATAACTGTACAAAAATTTCACTGAAGTATCTGACTCTATCAGGTCTCTTAGAATAGATAATTCAATATATAACTCTTGTAATAAATCTTCACCAATGCTAATATCTGATTTTATAGCTTCTGGGTACTTGGAATGAAAAAAGAAATTGATTTGAAACTTCTAGTATTAAAATGTAATACTCCAGAGGAAAAAATAAGCAGACCATGTCTCATTAATGTTGTTACTTTGCACCAGTTTGGTTTTATCTCAGCATTTATTCCAAGACTTGGTTAGTTGCTATAAGGCAAAGAATTTTCTAAGGGCTCTAAATCAATGGAGATGTTATCACAGAGGAAGATACTGGAACTTCATGTAACATGACCCTCATTCTTTCAACATATACTTTAATAATTACTTTTGAGAATATTTGCAAGCAGATATTTACATATAAGCATAAGAAGTAGGAGTTTGTTCAAATGCATTCAAAACATTGTGCTTCCACCTATTGAGAAAAGACAGTATTCTGGAGGATCCAAGATGGCCAAATAGGAACAGCTCCGGAGTGCAGATCCCAGTGAGAACAGCACAGAGGGTGAGTGCTCACCACATTTCCAAACAAGTCCTCACTGCCCACAGACCAGGAGAATACCAGGCCAAAAAGCACCACAAGTTTTCAGTGTGGCGGTTTCAGTCGGTGCCGGGTCAGCGCACAGAAACTCACACAAGTCTGGGTGGCTGTTTAGAGTGGTGCCTGGAATTCCCGGGAGACAGAGCCACCCATTCAACTGAAAGGGAGGAGGCTGAGACAGAGAGCCAGGTGATCTGGCTTGACGTATACCACCCCCACTAAACAAGCAATCTGAAACACTCTGGATTGACAGTTTTGCCGCAAGTGCAGCTGCATCCAGGATGGGCCAGCTCAGTTGGGGGAAGGGCATCACCCACTACAGAGGCAGTCCACCACTAATGAGGCAGTTCACACAGCAGCTGGGCAGAGCCTGCGGTAGCTCAGCAACACCTCTGCTTGCAGACTGTGACTAGACTACTCCATGCAGGGCAGGGCATCTAGGAAAATAGGCAGCAGCATGACAGGAACTTATAAATAATGCCAACCTTCCTAGGACAGAGCACCTGGAAAAAGAGGTGGTTATGAGTTCAGCTGCAGCAAACTTAAAGGTACCTGCCCAGCAGCTCTGCATGGAGCAACAGAGTTCCCAGCACAGCACTTGAGCTCCTATAAGGGACAGACAGACTTCTCAAACAATTCCCCAATCCCCATATACACAAAGAGACACCTCATAAAGGAGAGCTAAGGCCGACATCTGATGGGTACCCTTCTGGGACGAGGATAGCAGAGGAAGAAACCAGTGGCAACCCTTGCTGTTTTGCAGCCCCCACGGGTGATCCCCAAGCAAGCAGGGTCTAGAATGGACCTCCAGCAGTCCTACAGCAGAGGGACCTGACTGTTAGAAGGAAAACTAAGAAGCAGAAAGAAATTGCTTCAACATCAACAAAAAGGACATCCACTCAGAGACCCCATTCAAAAGTCACCAAATACAAAGACCACAGGTAGATAAAGCCACCAAGATAGGAAGGAACCAGCACAAAAAGGATGAAAACACCAAAAACCAGAAAGTCTATCCTCCTCCAAGGGATCACAACTCCTCATGATCTAGGGATCAAAGACGGATGAGAATGAATCTGATGAATTGACAGAAACGGGCTTCAGAAGGTTGGTAATAACAAACTTCTCAGAGCTAAAAGAACATGTGCTAACCCAATGCAAAGAAACTAAGAACCTAGAAAAAAGGTTAGATGAGATGCTAACTAGAATAAACAGCTTAGAGAAGAATATAAATGACTTGATGGAGCTGAAAAACACAGCATGAGAACTTCTCAAAGCATACACAAGTTTCAATAGCTGAATCAACCAAACAGAAGAAAGGCTATT